TAGCGTTACCATAGGAAAACCCAGCTAAGAGTGAACCGATACCAGTATTCGTCACGGTCTTGGTACCAAACTAGTCGTATGGTGACAAATCTCCCTGTGGTTTGCAAGGACGGCAACTGCCTGTGGTGGTGACGATCTGAGCAGACTTTAGCCAGGCTGATCTCGAGACTCCAGGGAACACAATATCAATACCAGCTAAACTCCTAAAAATAAAGAATATGCTAGGGCCCGCACAACCTGTGAGGACGGGCCAGTCAAGTATCCAAATAAGTAATGTAGCGTAGGACTCCGGGTCAGTCTTCGGCACAGAATATTAACTAACTCGAAACAGAATGCTCGACTCTGTATGAGTTCGCCACGTGGTACTCTTTGACGTAGGCACGGAGAACAATCTCAACCTTGGGTTATAATTGTTTACAGCAATAGCAACGATACAATATCCATAATATGACTATAGCGAATGGTCGAAATAGTGGAACACTGAAGCTGGGACGCTGGAGGACCGAGGCTGCGGAATGCGGAGAAGCTGGAGGACTAACTAAACTACTCCTTATATTCCTTCTGTAATAGGTGGGCCTTCGAAAGAGGGAATTAGAGCAACGCTACAAGTGAGGTTCTAAAGGTTTTTCAGGTAGTATAATCTGACAGAGGTACTTGCATAGAGGGTTCGTGATGGCTATACAATAGCTTATACAGAATACATGTGAAAGCGCGCAGTTACTCGTACAGAAGGTTCATGTGACAAGCGACACAAAGGTTTATACAAAAAGTTCATTTTAAAGCGATGGAATAATTTGTACAAAGGGTTTTACAAGAAAGTGCATGTGAAAATGGTTGAAAGAAAGGAAACGTTGATATCGGGACTCCAGGGAAACGCAATGGCTAAACCAACTAAACTGCGAAAAATGGAGAATATGCCGGGGCTCGCACAACCTGTGAGTGCGGGCCGTCCAAGTATTCAACTATGTACTGACTTCATATATCGATAGGTCGCCATAAGTCAGTACATAGGCCTTATGCACATTCAACTACGTCTAGGATGCCTGTTGAAGTCGGACGCGTGGCAGTTCCCTCAGGGATTTCTCAACGTCGAACATGTTTACGCCTTTCAGATTTTATCGAGCAAGATTGCACTTTGGCCATTAAATGCTCTGACCACGTTTTTTGCTGACGTTTCTTCCTTAAAGGGTTTACAGAAGAAGGGTCTTAATTTGAAATAGAGCTAAGGTATGTTAAAAGCATCTTCCGTTCAATAAGATTCTAGTCGATACTTCTGTAATAAAATGCCAATTTTCCTTTAGTTTTATTAACACATACACGATCTAGCCTAATTTTGTGTGCCATTGGATGATGCTTAGGACAACGACAGTACTCGATTAGCATTAAAAAGCCTTGCTGTCGAAGATATTAAACCTACGGAACGTCTTTTCACAAACCAGACTTAGCATAACATCACTGCTGGATAAGCTCCAGATCGAATGCAAAAAGAATGGCAAGTAAATTCTTTGCAAGGAACTAAACAGCCGGAAAAATATGAACTGAAGGCGTTGCGTGCGGTCCCATGTGTTAAGGAAAACGGCTGGTGACAATAGACCATTAGCTCTCTGTGTGTTGAATGAAAGCTTATAAGACTTATTTTTTTTAAATTAGAGATTGATCCCATTTGTTTTTTGAGCACTTTCTTGAGTTAGTATGAAAGAGATATAAGTTTTTCATTACTAATTTAGAGATATTAAAAAGAGATGCAACTTAATCACTTTCTTGGTGGATCAGAGATTTATCTGTCACATGAACAACTACGGTAGAAGGGTTTACGTATAGTGGCTGTTTCGAAAGCATCATTCGAGTTACAGTGGGCGTTGATGCCACACTAGTCCGTAAAGCGACTGGATTGCTGATTGGCTGGATTAGCAAAGTCATTGTGCAAACAAAGTCTGTTTACATTCATGGCCACAGTAAATTTTCAAATAAAAGAGGAATACGAATGCGGTGGAATCATTCCAGAACGGGGGATCCTTCAGGATAACGAATATCATTTTTGACGTTTTCTATGCTCGCTCTACAAACTATACAATCTTTAAGAGGAACGCAAGCAGCAGAGGAAAGAGCAGATCATGAATTCGACAACAGGTTGAATTGAATGAAGCTTTTTAACTCTTTACCAAATTTGGTTCGCCGTCAAGATAGCGCTTCCATGCTGCGACTTAACCCTGTGAATAAGATGTAATCAAGATAGTGGATAGAGTGCGGTCTATTTCGTTCGCGTTTCACGGGGTTTGCAGATGTGCTTCAGCCAACCGATACTTAGGTAAATAAATCTTTATATAATAAACACATGTAAACTGTAGAACAGCAAAAAAATTAAAAAATAGATAGCTAAAAGAGTAAGCACTAACCCAGATCGTTGGAGACGATAGCTTCTGTAATGGATTGCTCAATATCTACACAACGACGTGACCTCTATAGGAGTCACGCTATGTGAAAATAGTGGCTACTTTCATGAGATAAAATCTGTTGAAATTTTCAGATGCTTCCCTACAGAGCAAAATTTCTAACGCTTTACCATGATAAATGTCTAATTTTCTGGATACAGTAGGAATTATTTGCTTGGATTTCTTGCGTCGGACCTCATATTTCGTACACGATAGATGATGAACAAGTGGGATGTTATTTAGCATGGCACTATTGTGCCCTGCAATGTACAGATGATGTTTACAGATGCCGCTTCTCCACCAGAAACATTGAAAAGTTAGCTTCAAATGTCGATTTTTTGAATGATTTAATATAAACACATCTGAACCTGAAAGGACACCGCATGGAAATTTTGACTGAAATAAGTGCGATAGTGTAAACTCTTTTCCATAAATTTGAAAGATCCTAAAATACTCTAGTCATCGCAAACTAATTTCGTGGCTAGTGGGGCGGATATCACAATAGTATTGATGTCCATCATCCCGAGCATGGTGCTAGTTCGATTCCGCCCCGAGCTAACCAAGCCTCTCATCTCTCCGGCATCGCGAAATAGGTTCCGGAATTCTCTGGGAAAAAATTACTCTTTACAATCCAATTGGGAACGCTCCAGCTCAGTTATCTCCAAGGAGAACTGCTCGACCAACATTTTACGACAATCAAGATGAAATGAAAATCCTCAAGCAGCAACTGAAACCGCACGTAAAAACTTGGAAGACTTTCAAGGACGATGGTTGCGAAGAAACGAATTGAATGTGAGAAGTACTGGAATCGGCACAGTAGACGTGAAGACTCAAATAAAATAAAATTAAAAAACTTCGCCGCCAAGATGTTAAGTATGATAAAAGACAGATAGACTAGTCATGCAAATATCGTTCAAGTAAGAAAATAAAGAGCAAGTGGATGCAGACGTAAAGCGTTAGGCGTTGATTAATTTTTTAAGCTTGGATCGTGTGTCCGACTTCATATTGAGTGCATGTAATACCTAAAATACTACAGTCGTTTGCCCATCTGGAAAGTCAGCGATGTCATCCTCTCAGACAAATTTGCTACTAATTTTCCAACCACAGAGGAATGAATGCTTGATTAGCGCAAGGCGTGGGATCAAACTAATGTGCACGGCTGAACCGCTCATTAAGATATGGGCACACTATGTGCCAGCAAACACTAACTGCTACAGGATGCATAGCCCACCAAAAAAGTAGATCGCACTGGATGGCGGCAATGGATCAACAGTGGTTCTGTTTGGAAGGGTACTGCCTAGTGAAGTTAACTATTCAAGAGATGCTCTCTCCACTGGATTCGACTCGATGTGACAACGGACACCCATACCACGATGGCAACCACCTTTGCCCCACCGACCGGAATCAATCCGACTTTGAAAAAGACGAAAACGTCGAAATAGTGGCCAAATAAGTATTTTGCACTAAACTCGTGCTAGCTGAACAATCTAGAAAAATATTCACCACCACTTTACTGTGTGTGTGTGAGTTGAACGGTTTCCTGATGTGCACGCTAATTTTGCTCACCCAATCCGTAGCTGCACCACATGAAAAGGATCCCTTCACCAATTTACTGAGTTTTAAGTTTAAGTGAGTTTCATGACGATCTGTGGATATCGAGGAGAGAAGTCAGCCGTCATCTGAAATATACTTTTAAGCAAATTTTTTACTCAATTCTTCCAAACTACATGTTTTATCTTGCTGCCTGTTAGTTTTCTACCCCACACCATACATAAAACTTTACTGCTTCTGTTTGTTTTCACCACTGTATGCATTCTGCAAAGTCGTCTTAGGAGATTGCTAAATGTGAAAGTAGGAAAATAAGATCGCTTACAATGACTGAATTCGGCACCGTCTAAATATTACTCTTTGATGGAACATGTGTATTCATATATTCGTCTGCATCGCCTGTATACCCATTCGAGCAACTCAGCCAGACAACAACTTACTTTCCATCAGTCTCTTTTGAGCCAGATCGGCCCATATTTTTCTCTCACTAAAGTGACTCGAACAGTAGCACCAAACATTTTGTCCTAGTGCCTCTCGTTTTGATTTTTTAGCAAATGAGTAACCAAAGGGTCATCCAAGGCCCCGTCTCATTGAATTCATGCTGTGAGTCCGTAGAATTTAAAAGTTCCAAGAGTGATTGAAATGCTCAATTAAACGACTCCGCAGATGACTTATGAAATATAAAGCAATGCACGAACTGCTGCCTTCTAAAATAAACACTTTTTTCAATAAACAAATTCTGTCTAGTCAAATTCTAGTCATTTATATCGATAATTGAACAACTTTAATGACTTGTCAGTTTTGTTATGAAAAGGTTCTTGAATGTCAGAATAACTTTGTGCAATCAGCATTGTTCGGAGGTGGCAGGCAATTTCTACAGTCTCCTCAACGATTTCTGGAACAATTCATGGAAGCCTTATGGTGAAATGAACAGAGATGAGAACAGAGATGAAATTCACCGTATAAAAAGTGCAAAGTGCAGATTGGTGATGACAATTAGTAGAATGAAAGGATTTATACTCAGGCTTCTTCCCATTTATACGCATAGGGATTCTCGCACAGTTCGCTAATGTTCTTCTGATTGGTAGCTTTGTTAAATCGGACCTTAAAAATGTACAATTAGAAATTTTGTGTGAAAATAATAAGCACTGATATTCAGATAGTAGCATCTATCTCTAACTAAAAGGTAGCCATAGTTTCCTTAGCAACAAACTGAGTGCTCAGGGCTAAAAATTTTGTTAACAATCTTAGTTTGTTCGACATGCTGACGTTTCATCTAATTGGGATTGTTAGAAAAAGTCTGATCTACAATTACCTTTGTAATTCTTGTATTTTTTTAAGATTACAAAAGTACGGAATCTCTTAACCTCCAAAGGTTTTTCGCCTCATCGTGGCTAAGTGTTTTTGGGTACTGCGATGTAGATTAATCCCTCTCGCAGGTTTACCAAATTGAAAAAGAGTATGGCGTTTCTATCCAGTAGCCCACCTAAGACTAAACCAATACTAGTATTTACCACAAACCTCTTATCAAACTAGTCGCAAGATGGCAAGTCTCTATGTGATCTACAAAAACCAAAGATGGTCTGTGGAGTCTACAGAACAACATTAACTCGACCAGTAAAACTCCAGCCTCAGTACTCCGCACACATCCCTCAAGTCTACGAGGTCGAGCGGTGGACTATCGATGAAAGGCGATCAAATCCTGGGTTACACAAAATGTCATTGCAAAGAGACAAAATGTGCACACCAACGACACGCCATGGAGACTGTTTCTTGCGCTGCACGTATAACAACAGAGCAGTCTCCACAAAGGCTTACCACTACGTTCTTCTTGAGGCTATTGATCTCATGAAATTCTATGTCATCCCTTACAAGAGATGAAAACAGGAAGACCGACATAAGCGAATTAGATGACGGAACCATCGCCATTTGTGGAGCGCAATCTCGTTACGAAATGTGGGAAGCGTTGGCTTTGGGGTACGAGCATCTATTTCCCATCTAGTGACTTCACACGAAATTCTATTAGGGCGCTTGAGCATTCTTCGTCTCCAACTTCCACGTCAAGAGAAAGTCAGTATCATTAACTTCTACACATCAGCTTGCGAAGCGTACGAGAGAAAACTGAATGTGTTCTACAGCCAGTAATTCGTAACGAAAAGTCATTCTATAAATTCATTGTTGGAGACTTCAATGACTGGTTACGAAGAGTTAGAGAAGATGAGTACAATGGAGAAGAATTCAAAATTGGAGATAAAAATGCGGATGGAAACCGTCGTGTTGTACTTCTGGCCGCAGTATGCTTCTTCGATGGAAAATCATTTTTCGAGAAAACAGAAAACCTGCGATAGACATGGAGGTCTCTTAACGGAACGGCTTATGCGGAGAACGATCGTTTTCTCGCGAATAGAAAATGGTGACACATTGTCACCTGGATTTTGTATTGGATCCCACAACGACACTGTCTTTGCAAAGATCCGATTCAGTCATAAGGTGGGAAAGAATTGCTGTCATCTCAAAGAAAGCAAGAAAATTCTTGCGCAACCGCTATGTTCTCAACAAAATCCTCTCCTCAGATGAATGGTGAATAGGGAAAACCCAAGCGAAGATTACAGGTCTCCTGTCGAAAGACTTAAAGGTTGAGCCGAACTCTGCTCAGTTGAAAAGAATTCAGATAGTATCTTTATCGCCACCAAGGAGTCGTTGGAGAGGAGAATGAGACTGAAACTTGATCTTACTGCAGCAAACCTACCACGACTGATGATATACGTTAGATGATGAAGATATTCATAGGAAGATTTCCATGTGTAGAAGTAGAAGTGGTTACTGAAAATAGCCTAAAAACGACCTAGTAAATGAGTTCCGTTGGGATCTGTGCCACTACAATGCCATGCTCTCCCCTTAATGAACAAAGATGAGACTGATGCCATATAACTTCTATAATGCTGAGATATTTGCAAAACTCTGGACCGCACGTGTCTGCGGTAGAGAACGAATCTGCTATTGTCCTTTCCGGGGAGTAACTTGTTCACCACTACAACATGTGGGTCCCTCGTTTCGCCTGCCTCTCAACTGGGTTCAATGCCGATTTGGACTCTCCAGATCAATCCCGTTGACGGGTGATTGCTGATGGCAAAAGATTGATAGAACTAGCTGAGAGACTGGCGAAACCGAGGACCCGCATGGTGTGGTGATGAACGCGTTACTCCCCGGAAAGGACAATAGCGCGTTCGTTCCTCACCACAGACACCTGCGGCCAGGCGTTTTGCAAATATCTCAGCATTATAGAAGTTATATTTCGCAACGCACCCTGCCGTTAAGAAGAATAGGCAGTAAATAAAATGGTTAAGATATTGATGCCATAGTATGAAATTGATAACGGAAAAATTCCATACCAACTTCTTCCGCTTCGCAACCCTCGTTTTGGACCCCGAAGCTCCGTTGGTGAAAAATCATTAGGTGGTTCATAAATCCCTTCTAGGTACAAATACATATGGTTAACGTTAGCTACAAACACGTTTGTACAGTGAGTGTTTGTCTCTTGTATCCCACAGGAGTCCTTCCTCTCCACCTGTCGTTAATGCTGCTCATCACATGACCCTAACTTTTGAGTTCATCACATTTTATGGTGAATTTTGAACTGATGTTGTTAAGATGTATGAACTGAGTAATTTTGCATGGTATTTTGTGCACGACTTGTACTTCACAAAATGTAGTTTGTATGCGCGTCGTGTATAGCACATAGTGGTTAGAGGTACGTTGTAATACACAAGTGGCCGTTGGTCTGAACCCATACCAAGGTTCACCAAGACTTTCATCACTTCACGGCCGCGAATTAAGACCAGATTTGTTTGGAAGACTAGTCGCACTGACTTTATGTATCGGTAGCCCACGGCGATTCATTCTGTAGACCAGGCATCAATCACTTCTAATGACGCTTAATGAAGTCGAATACATGACAAATCCACCAAGAATCAAAGTATTCGGCGTGTATTCGGTGTCTTAAATGTTTGACATATGCATTAAAAATTCATGTATTAAAATTTTTCTTAAGATTATGAAAGTGTTTGGCTGAGTAGATTACATGTCGACTTCTTCGAGGCTCTGATGAAATCGAAACCGCCGAGGCGTTGGCTAGTGTGTATTAATAAAAAAAAAACAAAGTAGTATACCACCTCCCCTTTTCAAAAAATGAGTTTCCATGTAAAAGATATTGTGTTAATAGAAGCGCAGTACGATGATTTCCATTCTCATTGAAGCTATAGACTTCGTATTCATCGTCATTGCCTTTTCTAATTTGGCGTTGGAGCTGTGAACAAAAATTTCGTGGAGGAAGTTCTCGCCGAGGACAAGTGTTCAATGAACCGTTCTTGTTCACTCTCATTAGCTAGACAAGTTTGTGAGTAACTATTGATGACACGGATCTTTCTTGAGAAGACGGCGAATTGCCAGTAAAAATCGAGGGATCTCCTATGGTTAAATAAGATGAGCAAAGGATAGGTAAGTTATTAGCTGTGGCTATAAAATGTATTAAGCGAAATAATATAATGGATAGAAAAGCAAAACGTACCACAGGTAAGTTCTCGAAATAAAGCATATCCAGTGTATTGTTGCCGTAACCAAGGTGAGTTCGATTGAATAGCAGCTCAGAAACGCATGCTATCGCTCCATAATCAAATGACGGCATCATCTATAAACCGAAAACGTACGGTTTCTCAAAAAGATGAACGAAAAGAAACGATGTGGAAAAAATGAAAAATTTTTTTATATTCCTACTTAGCAGTGTTTTTAGAGAGGGATTCTGAAATACACAATAGATCGGTCGTTGTTTCCATTATCGCGCGGCCCTAGACTAACAAACTCCCTACCATTTCTCCCATCCGTGGTCGGAAAACTGATAACAAACTTGTCTTAGAAAAAAAAGCCACTAACCTAGCACATTTATAGACCATCAAAAGTCATTATAAAAGCTAGGTAGGGCTTCGATCACCCGATGCTACGAATGCACGGTGCATCCATTAGGGATTGGTCAACGCCAAACGCTTTACTGTTTATTTCGTTGCCTCGTTAAGTTTCCAGAACTTTGTATGCCACTTCCATCACTATCTTTTCTTACGTCTCTAAGACAAGAAGTGCACTGCACTCAACGAAAAGTTCTGCACCGTGGATAAGAGCGTTACCTGTATCACCCCGTCACCTATCGTCCGTTCATGGTCTACTCGAACAGGTGCCAGTAAGTCTTCCACTTCTCCCCGCCGGGTGTAAAAAATGCCTAGTGGGTTCTTCTCGTTCCAGAAATTCGTTGACCATGAAATCATTCTTTTAGCGTTTTTTTGAAGAACCGTGACCATCGTGCTGGTGGTCTGCCTGCAGTACGTTTTTGACATCCCATGGGATTTCGTCACTGTTCTCGTTCATCGGTTGTTGTTCACACAGATCGCGTGACAGGCCCGCTTTATCTTCGACAGATTGGCGTTTAGAACGGCACCCTTGATTCTTGATCTTTGACGTAGGTCAGACCTTTGGATCCTTTCCCCCACTTTTGTGACACTGGATAGCTCTAGTATAACATTGCCTTTTCGACTGTGTGTTCAATAACGCTGAGTTATTTTTCATCATGGTTAAGCAACGATCACTTCTCTGATGTATACGTTAAGGCATGTAGAATCGCGAAGGCGGAAAAGTGGGCACGGAGTTGGGGTTCTTTTTTCTGTTCACTAAATCCTCTATACTTTTGAAAACTCCCCAAGCCGCTTGTTTCCTTCTGCCAAACTCTGGAGCTAAGTCGTTCATCATGTTGATTTCTCGCCCTAGATAAACATAACAGGAGCACTCGGAGATATTCGTTCCATCAAGCGAGAATGGGGCATATGAAGCCAATCCGCTCCTCGTGAACATCGTTTTCGTAAGAGTTAGTCGAAGACCAATCGTTCTACAGGTTTTATCAAAGTCGGCAAACATACGTTCCGCTTGGCTAATGCATGGTGTTATAAGGACGATATCATCAGCAAAGCGAAGATAATGTAACTGCCGACCATCGATTTTCACTCCCATATTAACCCATCCCAATGTTCGCATGACGTTCCGGAGGGTGGAGCTAAATAATTTTGGCGAGATGGTATCGCCTTACCTAACTCCTCTTTTGACGCCAGTGTTAATATCGTTATAGAATGGCGATACCTTGCTTGAAAATTTTTAGACAACTCACGAATAATTTTTACACACCGAGTAGGGACTCCCTGACTATCAAGAGCTTCCATAACTGCTTCTATCTTAGTTGAGTCAAAAGCCTTCTTTAAATCGATGAAAGTGAGACAGAGAGGTCTTTTGTGCTCTCGAGATACTTCAATGTTTTGTTATCGTTTGGATGTGGTCCTCGCACTAAATCCTTTTCGAAGCCCTCTTTGCTCATTTGGCTGCCCTTCGTCCGCCGTTGTGTCAAACCTGTTTGGGATGACTCGAGTGAAAGTTTGTAGACGACAGACAGCAAGCAGATTGGACGATAGTTGCCGATATCGTGTAGGTCACTCTTCTTGAATAATAACACTGCCTTGCTGGCCTTCCACTGAGGGCGGGCCTTGCATTCAGACAGGTAACGTGTGAAGATCAGAGTCAGGTGCTTACGAGGACTGGCGGAAGGTCCTTTAGGTGTGCAGACTTTATCCTCTACGGACCTGTTCTTGTACATTTCTTTACCGATGTAGCAGCATATTGGATTTCAGAACTGAGAGCCGGTGGGACGGCAATTCATCCTTCTTTATTAAGCATTAGTGCAGAACCACTTGGCTACCGAAGGGATCTGAGTACTAATGATTTTCTCCATTGCATTTCTGGAAGCGTACAGGAGGAGGGCGTAATGACTGAAAACCAAAATATCAATCACTTTGGTATTCGCCATCGCCACACACTTATAATGCACCTCATTACCAATAATAATATCGGAAAATCAAGGCCTTAGAGCAATTCGTATGCGTAGAAATAATATGGCCGTTTTCCTCAAGTCGCACCATTGTTATATCTTCCACCTTTTTTCTCTCTATTTCGATTGAAATTTCGAATATTCTGTTTAGTAACGGGCAATGGAGAAGAACTCATGAAATTTAGACAATTGTTTAGGGTTACAACCTATTTCATAGACGCATTGCAGGCAAAACGAACAAATTACCAAGCCGGACGTCTAAAGTTCTATTTACTCAAAATAGCTCATGAAGATCACCACCTACCAGTTCACGATGTTTCCGGCCAATGAACTTGTTGGTTGACAAAGATGGCGACTAACAAGCTCAAAGATTTTCGCTCATCTATCTTGACGTTTGAAGTCGGAATTCATTATGCTTTGATTTCCGTTGACATTGTCGAAACTTGCGGTTATTCGACTTCATAAATCGACTTTCTTTCCCGCAGATACCATATGCCGACTGCTGATCACTTGGCTATAATCATTAAGGTAAAGCCCATGGTAGTGTTCCCAAGGACTTCTGTGAATCAAATGTTGAAACTCACTAACAACTTGCAAATAAGTCCCTATCCGCCAATAATTCTATGACAGTGCCCCAACGAACCCCAGGCGACTAGTGTATGGATGGCACAGTGGTTAGAGGTGCCTTCCCATACACACTGTATCGATCTTTGGTTCAATACTGTGCCTTCGTTCACTGAGCCACCCATTCCTCTGATGTCGGAAGATTACTACCAGACTTGTCTGAGAGAAAAGAACGCTGATTCGATTCATTGGTAGGCCACCATGATTCATTGTACAGACCACATATGCGTTTAGTCAGTTTTGCGATGTTTGGTAAAGTCGAATACTTGCTGCATTCTTTAACGTAGAATGCTTGATCCTTCATTCCTTACCCATTAATTTTCCTTACATGGAAGGTGCTGAATGGAATAATTTCAAGACTGTGTGGACAGAGGATAAAAGGGATCAGGGGAGCGTGTACTTGTGCTGCAAATCAGCCGACTTCTGTAGATGGGGTTCGCTGTCCTGAGAGATCGAAATGTACTCTGCTTTAGAAGTATACAGATATGTTCTCGTATATATATATATATATATATATATATGCATGCATATACATACTCATGGGTGTGCTTGCTTACACGGGAATTGAATCCTGCACATCGACTCGTTTAAAACATTTATTCAAGAGTGTGAGTGTAAGTACGTTGCTAAAGAATAATGTCGGTTTTAGAGGAAAGGTTAGATGGGTTTGAGTCTTTTTAATTCAACAATATTAATCGAATTTGAGAGCATTAAAATCAACAAGCTTTTGGTGTACAAATTACAGATTCAGTCATTTCGTCCACATGAAAACGAAAGCATTTGAGTACGACGAAGACGTCGAAGCTTCTTTTACTGTCCCTTGATTGAAAAGTGATTCCTCGTGAAGAAAATTTTCCGGATGTTTAAGAAACTGTTAATGAGTTGTCGGTAAGACGATGAGCGAAGTCCATGAGGCAGGGCACCACAGACCAATTCGCTCAGTTTCTATAGCACAACTGTTGAAACACTGCTAGTTCCAGTGTGGAGCAAAACTGATCCATTTAACAGATCAAAAGTTCTTGCAGGTGTTAGAGTTCGAGGTGAATTCTTTGAATTTCCTGGCGATATTTTTCTCATGTAGTGAGTTTGTCATGAAAATACTATAATGCATAAGTCTGTCGTCCAGAAGGAAAAGTTATTATAACCTTTTCTTAACGCAAATTCGGTAGCAGAAAGTGTTTCGATGGACCTTGTTCAATCGCAATCCAGAGCGTCGGCAGTTGTTGTATAAAAAGATAAGAAACAATAAAGCTCTTGGCGTTGACCTGTCCCTGAGAGATGCTCCATGCACTCGACTTCACTAAGCCTCGCTGCAGGTGACTGAATACATATCCGACCTTTGCAAAGACTCGCGGTGACCTGCCGATGAACCAAGTCAGTGCAACTATCATCCCAGACAAGTCCGATACCAACTTGCTGACCTCGGAAGGTGGAAGGCTTGGTGACTATGAGGCGCGGAGATCGATTCCATATGTATTGCAGGACATCAGTGATCACTGCGCTACACGCGCCATTGTTGTATAGAATTTCCTATAACATCAAATTGCACGTTTTTTTACTTTCTTTGTTTGACTAATGACTTCGGAAACTGTAGTTCTGTTAACGATAATCTTTTGCGTGAACTCTGCCACCGATCCGCTTGGATCGGCTTCTGTTGTGATCTTCACATTTCGTCATCGGTGGCAGCGGGTCATTTTCAATTCTTTTCGTCTTCTATCCTTTCATCTTCGAATACGAATGTTTTAAATCCGCTGCTATACTATCCGTGAAATAAGAGCTCCTTAACCGTACATAATGTTGATGATAGGTAGTAGTTTTACGCCAGAAATTGAATACGTATAGAGCTATTTATGGAACTCGTAGATGAAAAATAATTCGGACTAAAAAATCGTTGGACTATTTCGAAATTACGCTTTGTGCTAGCTGATAACACACCGACCTCTGCACGATGTGCGCAATGATGTATGTCCGGAAGAAATACAAGTTGTTACCACCGGACATTGTCATTATATATCTACCATCAGCATCGTGTATAAAAGGGCATCACTGAGTGAGGATGCCTCATTCGAGAAGATGGCTCGCTGAGGAAGATCTGGCTCGACAGGAAGGCGAAGACGCAACGTCGAGGCGAACAACAAGCATGGACCATCGACTCGGATCACCGGCTCTGAGGAAGACGAAGACGTCGAAACGTTAGCCGAAAATAAATATATTTATCAACCTCGTGCAAGCTTATCAAGAAAGAATACATATTAAATCGTTGGACTCTTGAAAAGGTCGAACTGTTCCTCAGCTTGGGTCACCTTGTTGCGGGATTGATTCTCTTCGGTCCGTCGAAAACCAACACCCAGGAGAAGCTCCACACGGTGAGCATAAGGACGTGTTTCCATTACTATCAAGAATGAAATAGGAAGTAAAAAGTATACCGTTGAAAGAGTGCCTAAGTAGTTCAGTAATACTGGCGCCGAAAAGATGGAGCCAACAACAAAGAAGTTTGCGGGTCAACATTGTTATCATTGATCGATGAGATACTACCAATCTGCTTGAGAGAAATAGAATGCAGGCGAAAAATCTGTCCCAAGGGTAAGCTGGACCTGAAAATGCCTGCCCACTGAAATAATGTCCATGTTGTGCAATGGTTTTTAATCTGATATCCTACCCAAAGAATGTTGAATTGTTTAGTATATAAATGACGATATATTATTAACCAAAGTGTCATTTAGATGGTAAGAAAAATAACTTTACTTCATCTATGAACCTTATTCACGAGGATATATTGGTATTTGGAGATGGACGGAAGATCTTCAACGCCCAGCACACACACTTTATGACGGAGGAAATTGGCCCTGCATTTCCTCGGTGAGTCTCTCCACTGAACCATCCTGAAAATTTGTTCATGCAAGAAATTTGATGGAAGAAATTCCAAAATTAGGAATTTATAAAGTGTTTCAGGCAAATAAGAATACATGAAGATCTACAATTTGTCTTCATTCCTTTCTGAGCGAAAAAGCTAAAACTATCACTATCACCCGTATTACCTGCAGTCTCGTTGATCGTTTGTTCCGTTAATCGTCGAGTGAGCAGAGCGTGCTCCGGTATCACCTGTATCACCTACTGTTCCGTTGATCGTCGGGTGACTCGAGTGGGCGCCAGTAAATCTATTTTCACCCGTCGCGTGCAAGAACAGCACAGCGGGTTCTTTCAGCTTGCTCTAGAAACTCGTTGAGCATCATATCTTTCTTCAAGGCTTTTCGTGAAGAACTCTTACCATCGGGTCGGTGGTCTTCCTGCAGTTCGTTTAATATCCCGCAAAATTCAGTCACTAATGGCTCTTGTCCATCGGTTGTCGTTCAAACGCATTAAGTGTCCGGTCCATCTTATCTTCGAATGTTTGGCCTACAGAACGGCATCTTTGATTCTTAATCGTTGACACAGGTCGGGGCTTCAGATCCTTTCTCTTACTTGCGCAAAACGGAATACTCCTAGCATCGTCCTTTCGACTGCGCGTTTAATAACGATGAGTGATTTTTAATCTTCTTTATCCAGCGACCAAGTTTCTAACGCATACGTTAGGGCAGGAATTACCGTTGAGTCGAAAACTTGGGCAAGGAGACGAGTGTTCTTTGCCGTCTTCATTACTTCTTCGATGATCTTGAAAGATGCCCAAGCCGCTCGTTTCCTTCCGCTCAACTCTGGAGCTAAGTCGTTCATCATATTGATTTCCCAACCAGGACAGACATAAATGGAGCATTCGGAGATTTTCGTTCGTTGAGTGTGAATGGGGCGTATAAAATCGATCCGTTCTACATGAACATCGTTTTTGTGAGATTTAGTCGAGGAAGAATCTTTCCACAGTCGGCAATCTTTACCAAATTGAGCAAGCATACGTTCCGCTTGGCTAATGTTTGGTGTCATAAACACGATGTCACCAGCAAAGCGAAGATGATGTAACTGCCGACCATCAATTTTCACTCCCATATTATCCCATTCCAATATTCGCATTACGTTCTGGAGGGTGGCGTTAAATAATTTTCGCGAAATGGAATCGCCTTGCCTAACTCCTCTTTTCACGTCAATGTTAATAACGCCGTAGAATGCTGATATCTTGGTTGTGAAATTTTTGTACAGCTCACAAAGAATCTTTATGTACTGAGTAGGGGCCCCTTGAGTATCAAGGACTTTCACGATTGCTTCTATCTCAATTAAATCGAAGGCCTTATCCTGTCCGGACCTGGTGCTGTTCGATTTTTGACCGACGAAATGGATTGGATTTCGGAAGGGAGAACCGGTGGTGCAACATATCCGTCCTTCTTCATATTTCATATGACGGAAGGTGGACGTGGCTATCGAAGAGATCCGAGTAGTATTCGTGAGTGATTTTTTCCATGACCTCTCTCGACGCTGTAACTGTTCCATCTGGGCGTCGGAGTGCAATCACCTTGGTCTTGTAATTGACGAAGCTTCGGTGGGCTTTTCGAATGCTTTTCCCAGCCTCTGCAGCTTCGAGCGCAACTGCTGCTCATCTCTGATTAATATCTTATTACATCACCTGTCTGCATTGTTTTGTAAGTCCGGGCGTTAGTTCGCGGTTGCCTGCAGCTCGTACGATTCCACGCTGGCGTGTCACCTCGAGTGTTTCTGGAGACAAACGTCTCTTGGTGACTTTCGAATTCTGAGCTTTCATAGCGCTAACGTGAAGATATTGAATGAGCCGATCGTATTCTTCGTCGATATTATCGATAACGGCATTTTCCCAACAGCCGACTAATGAATTGAACAAGTCCCAGTTTACGGTGGTTTTGGTACCTCGGTTTTGGAATTTAGCGGCTTTTTCTCCTTCCCGCGAGAAATAGAATCTTGCACGAAGGAGACGATGGACTGATCCTGCGTAGAATTTTGGAACAACAGCGATATCGGTTAGGCAAAACCTTCTATTTACTATGATGTGGTCCATTTCGTTATGGTACTCTCCATTGGGAGATTCCCACGTCCAGCGTTGAGAGTGGGGCTTCTGGAATTGCGAGTTACCATGGATGGTCATCATGATAAACTCAGAGAGTCGCTCACCTTCTTCGTGCCATTCTAATCCGTGGGTCCCAATGTGATGTTCTTCAGACGTTCTTCTCGGCTCAGCCTTGGCATTAAAATCTCCAACGATGACCTTGAAGAATGCATGCTTTTCCTTGTAGAACTTCTCCAAGTTCATACAGAACACATTGTCTTCCTCTTCATCATAGTTTGATGTCGGCGCGCAAACGACGAAGATTGTCAAAGCTGGTGTTGATCCTCATCTCTTTAATCGTAAACGACCGATTCGTGTTGCGAGTTATTCGAATGAATCGATGTTCATGGACAATGTCGTGTTGACGAGAACGGCGACGCCGCCGACTCCTCTGCTGTCGCATGTTGCGAAGAACAGTTCTTCTCCGGTGTCATAGACGGCGTTGAAAGGCTGGCGTCTTCTCGTCTCGCCCAGGCCGATGACGTAGTACCTTGTTTTTCTTATTTGCATGATCAAGTCTTCCATCGAGCAATCTAATGGAAGTGCGCATGCATCGTAGGTATAGATCATCACCTTAGTTCTTTGCGATCCAGGCAGCTTGGAATGGCTCCGAGATGTTAGTAGCCTCTCCGCGCTCGTCCTACCCAACGATGCCGATGGACCGAATCCGTGCAAAATAAGTACTCTTACTGACAGCTATCACAAAAACGCCACAGTGCTCCAAGTTATTCATGCCCGGCCTACAAGCTATCATATTCCCTACAGTATCGTCATCTATTCAAGAACTCCAAGCATGCAAGAAACAGGTCTCGATAACTTCAACAAAGCGGGAAAGTGATAGGACATGTGATAAAGATGAATAGGATTCAGCTCATTGAAAATCCATAAAAAAAAGCCATAGTGTTTTGAAAAAAAGAATTAAGAAAGAATATTCTCGATGTACAAAGATCACAAGTTGACCTAGCCCACACAATGAGCATGAAAAAATATATCAAAGAGGAATTGAGTAGAGAAACAACATGGTTCCGTATTAGATCTGTTATAGAAGTTGCCGATTAACTGTTGAATCCAGACCTGCCTATGCACATGCTTGATTAGATAACGTTTCAAGATGGAACCGATGAAAAGGTGAAAGGTAGATAGTGTCCGTAGTTTTATGTTCTATAAAAAATTGCTTACGTGCTGGTTTTTGATGTAGTATAGACATCTACTTTGTCCGGATCATCCAACGTGCTATACATCTAAGTCGAAATGTACGTGAATTATTTGTGACAGAGACGAGAGACAACCGGTGGATAATGAAAGAAAACGAAGGAAATTAAGTCCAGTACCTTTGCGAAATTCTCTCGGCTGAATTCTATTATGAAAAAGTAAGAGAGCAAATGTACCTAGTTATTCCGTTGTAACTGAAGCCGTGTTTTATGCAGCGATCGGTGAATCCACCAGGCATTTTCCAGTGCTCGGCAATTTGCAGAGTGCTCATCAGCATTTCGTCTACTGAATTTCTCTTAAACAATGGTAAAATTTTCCCAATGAACTTGTAGAGAAATATAGTAAAATCTTTTTTAAGGCATTTCTAAATGTGAAAGGATTCGAATGTTCAGGGGTTTCAGTCCTGTTCTACACCTCACTGAAGTGATCGACAACACTGCGTTTTAAGCTTAACATTGAAAGCAGTAACGTATACTTGGCCTAATAGGAACGAAAGTGAATTCGGATTTTTCCAAGCAGACAAAAGATTGAAACATAAAAGTATTCAAAGGGCTTAAAAGAACACGTTCCCCATCAGTAGTTCTTGAAATGACTGACGCTGTGCTTCTGAATGTAAGCACTCTGTATACAAGCACTAGAAATCTGCTAAGAATTTTTCCAAGCTTAATCTGTTAGTGGATAAGCTTTCGATTGCTTCAAAATCTTTTTCTTAGCTGAGTTCTTGGAAAATCATGGTCACAAATAGATTAATGACATGAAGAGAACAATTGTAGACAGCGTGTAAACGGAAGGTAATTAACGCCTACAATTTTTTTGACGCAAAGATTTTTGATATCGAAAAAGTCATGTGTGGCTTCCAACACCCTAATAATGAACAACTCACCCCACTGGCAAACTGTTTGATGAGCTGAGTGAGATTGATGCCGTTCAACCACTGCACAGCTGTTCGAGACAACGAAACCTGTATCGCTCCCTTAGCAATAAAAAGTGGAACTTTGAGAGCTGAAGCCAATGGTTGGAATGATGACCCTGTAGCACGTTTCCTTTGAGAGTTTTGTTAAGTTTGAACTTGAATACCATGTCGCTCGATTACATTTAGTCCTTATGACAAATACGAAAAGGAGGCTAAAAAACTGTTGAATACCAAAGCACATTTTTGTATAAATGATGGTGTTTGGACCAGATTATGTTTGTATAAGTGATTGTGTTTGGGTAAGTGATAATTAGTCTCCCTAACACATACGAATGTGAGCGCGTGTGGCGCAGTGGTCGGAAGCCACACTGTGTCACACTCGTGTAATCGATCCCCGCGCACATGGCCCACCAAGCCTTCCATCCCACCTGGGTTGGCAAATTGGTACCAGATTTGTCTGGGAGGATAGCAGCACTGTCTCGATACATCGGTAGGCCACCGCGAGTCATTGTAAAGGCCAGATATGCATTCAGTCACCTCCAGTGATGCTTAATGAACACAATTAATGAAGTCGAATGCATGGCACATCCAACAGGGATTGATCAACGCCGAGAGCTTTATCCCTTATTTTTTTAACACATACGAATATGCAAGAGTTATTCCTCTGCTGCAAACAGTACCAGAAAGCCAACATTGAGGCGGTATAAAGGGATGATACCGCTTTCCTGCACGAGAGGGTAAAGACGTAATTTTTTTCTACGTATAGTCAAACGTCCAATTTTCCCTGTGGAGTATAAGTTTGGATAAAAGAATCAAGCCATACCAACGAATACACCGAGAGATTCCGCGTCCCATTTCATATTTCGGTTGTAAAAAAACGGATGGCAGGGTGTGATTTGGACATCGTTCGTGCCGTTTAGCACTTGGAAGATCCGCTTCAGTTCGAAGTTTGTCCGAATTATGACGTCGTGAGTCTACAGTGAGCCTACATTGAGTGTACACTGATTACCTGCATCTTATCGAGCAATATTCAATTTTAGTTTCTTCGTTAGTTTTCGAAACACTGACAAGTGCTGTTATATTCAACTCCTTTTATTGATCTTATTTCTTGAGATCACAGAGAATTAGGAACTCCAGGAGTCTTCGGTAGGATTATAGTTATCAGAATGTTCATCTCCAATGCCCTGTAATTTAAGCTGAAAGCTCTCGACTTTCCCATTTGAGCAATTAGTGCCCCATTGTAGAAAAGGGAATGCATTTGCTGTGCAAATCGTGTCACGCCTCAAATTTCGGACAACGGCAGCAAAATTTCCAAAAATTGTGTGACTATTGTGATTTCAATTGCTAGAGATTTGAAAATATGCATAGGGTGAGACAGGCTTACTGGAGTATTCTGATACCAGTAAACCTGAGACTCAAGATCGATCTCACTTATGTAATTGATGGGTCAAGGCAGAAGAGAAAGAAGGAATAGAGTGGAAATGAAGGAAAGAGAAAGCATTTCGTCAAGAAATTGCCATTTTCCTTTTATTTCGCCTTCTAAAAGATACATCAGTGACATGTTTGGAATTTTCAAAATAGGATAAGAATTTAGGCTTTGATTAGAATATTGATATCTTATTCAATGATTGATATATTCACATTCAAAAGATCCAACGTTTGTCCACCTCCTGTATAAAATCTGTTTCTATTTTCCAGAAGATTATTTGCTGATTCAAATCATTAAATTAGATAGAAAAGCTGGACATACTTGCTGCAAGATGACGTAGTGCCATGGGCCTTTTTTGTCAAGCAGTTTCATACAAGCCAGATGAGCAAAATTCGTGTTGGTCCCTTCTCGACCGTCGATCTCTAGGCGAACTGCAATCTGGCTAACGTTTGTGCAAAGTCATCAACCAGTTGCTGGACAAAAGAGAGCGGACCGTCAGTCAAGTAGACGTTCGGCAAGCAAGTAGACAATGCCTTCATGCGCTTTTTGAATTCCGAACTCGCTTTGGAATCGACATGGTAACAAAAATGGTTCTCGGCCGAGTAGCTCGATCGTAGTTGTTCTTCGAGGAACTCATAATCCTGAAATACTCTTGGATATCTCACTTACATCTTCATTTGCTTTGTCATAATTCTAAAAACAACGACAATGTGACCGGCTGGAATAAATTAAGCACGTGTGCTAAATGCACGAACACACAAAGAAAATGTATGTATGTAAACATACAATAAATGCTTAACTAATCACTTGCTAAGAAATACAAGCAATACATAAATATGTGAAAAGTGGCAAAAAACTAGGAAGGAATTAAAATGGAAAGTGATTTATCAATCAGTGCCAAGGTTAGGAGAAAGTCTGTCTTGGGCATGACTAAAAGGTACTTCACGGACGTTCATATGTACTTGTGCTCTGGGAAGACAAAGTATTTGTTTAGAGACTCACACAATAAATACCGATAAGAAAAAAAATAGTCAAGAAATACGACGTGGGAGGAGTCATTTACGAAGTAGAAAGAAATAAGTGTACATGTAAGGAAAAGATCTAAAGAGCTCAGTTAGTTAATAATACAGTATTATTTATTGTTTACATTATCTGCATAGTTCGTTGTCACATCAACTGTGCAGGTCCCAATAGTTCTTGCATTTGATTCGCGTTACAAAACTAATAATATTACGGTATTAAACACTAGCAATATCGACATTACTACAATATTAAGCGTTAAGCATAACGTTGCTGAAATATTTGCAAAACTGCGGAGCGTTGGTGTCTGCGGTGGGGACTGAACACGCTATTACCCTTTCCGGGGGCTAACGCGTTCACCACTACACCATACGAGTTCTTCGTTTCTTCAATTTCTCAGCCGTGTTATTAGACGATAAATAAAATAAGCATCCGTATTGTTCACTCCGTTACTGCATTTGATAAGTTTCCTGCTTTCTTTAACCTGATCCTACGTCACCCTTTACATGGATTCCAGCACCTCTCGCATTCAATTCGCGTGCTTATCTCTTGCATGAGTGTCTTTGTGATTCTGCTCCTCTTTACAAGTGTTGACGAATGTAAGTAACTCGATTCACCCTAGAATCGAGAGAGAGAGCTCTCCCACGACCGACTTTCTATTAACCTCGGCATTGATCAAGTAATTCTTCGTATTTTTGTTGAGCAAACGCGAGGTGTTATTATTCTTTATTCACGAATGAGCTGACGTTTCGGCGGATTTCGCCTCCGCCGAAACGTCAGCTCATTCGTGAATAAAGAATAATAACACCTCGCGTTTGCTCAACAAAAATACGAAGAATTATTAGAGAGAGCTCTATCTTACGAAACTCTTTAATGTTAGTTTGGTAGCAGTTCACCAATACTAGACACATGTAAAGTCAGGTTGGCCATGTTCGGAGTTGGACTAGGGCTTTAGCATATTAAACGACATAACAATAAATGCGCTACCTGCGCGCCATGTTTTTGTGTGAAAACCATTCCTAAGGTATGTTAACCTCACCAGAACATCCGCATCAAAAAGTAAAGGAAAAATAGTGACTTGGCGAAAAGGACTTCAAAATAAGGAAAAATCGAGGATAACGCACAGTATGAACGATCCTCGCGAATGCGATTGCATAGTTCGTTGCTGGCTGGCGAGGATAGGTCAGCAACCGTAGTCGAATCCCCTTACAACTCATGTCCAGGTGGCGATTCGGGGCCATCACCACACGCTCCACCTCACTGACGTAACTACCGTCGCCGGCGAAGAGCCTCGAGCAGTCCAGATGCGACGTTTCCGGTCTGTGACGAAACCGTGGTGTCGCCAGTTTACCCTGAAGTATTGTATTAACAGCTTTATCGCAACTCGAAATTATTGCAGTTTCCACTGCTACTGCCTTAGATTCCTATAGTGTCTCATTCAGTCTAGATATTAGCTTAGAATTATGATTCTCTTGAAGTCCACTGACTTCAGTTGGTCTCTTGAAGCAATCAAAGTCCTTTAATCGTCGGTTTTCTTCAAATGATTCGGGAACTATCGGCAAAGGACACAGTTTTTGTTTGCCTAACGACTGACTCTCGCAATTCGTTGGCCAATCTACTTTCAGAAACCACTCATAGTGGTATTTCTAGATAAGTCCTTATTCATCCGCAACCACATATGAATCCATACAACGTAGCCATTTTGTGTAGCACCACACGCGGGTTCATATCCATATTTGTCAGTCCATATCATTGATTAATTTCGCAATTTGTAGCCATCTGTACTTATTTCCAACCCAGTATGTCGCACCAACACCCGGCTTGTTAAATGTCTAACCATACGAATGGCTGCCATATGGAAAAGTCCTGGTCACTAGGTCCGAAACTTTCTATTGAACTGAAACAGCTCAGAGCTGCAGGCTGAAAAGATCTCTGAGAAACCTCTCTAACGCGGCTAGTGCTCAATTCTAAGAGAAACCCCGTGCAACCATTCTTCAACATGCCACTAAAGAAAGAAGTCAACAATTGGTGTTGCTCCTGATCCACAGAATAGTGCGAGCACTATCTCCAATACTGGTTAGAGGACCAAGAATCAAATGCAAGAGAGTTTAGCGAAATAAAACTGAGATTTTTCTTAGTATTTTGATCACTGAAAATAAGTTCTCCAACGATTACTCAACGACACATAGTATCAACACTTTAGGTGAACTTCTATGCACTGATGATTTTGTAGGACAAAATAATTTCATTAAATCTACTGTCATCGCAATCCTTCACGTCAACAGTTTTTTTATAGCGAAGCACATATCAGGGGGGTAATTATACTTTCTATGCAAAGAAGTTATTGTGCAGATGCGCTACCGATTTAAAGGTAAATGAAGAAATTGCCAACCCTACCGTAGCTTCTGAAGCACTGAACGTGGAATTGATATCTACAGAAACCAGAAAAGGTTAACGAACAGGAACTGATGACTTATAAATCGTGCGTAGTCTGCGGCTAACACGCTATGGATGGTTAATAAAGTGCTATGTGCTAACAGGCTGCGGTTGGATGCTAATACAGAAAACTTCTCTCTGGAAAAATTCTTTGTCTATCTAAACAGTAGCAGTTGACGTCCACACCATTGTCGTCTCGCAGCCGCAAGCCACATGCCGCAACATAACCTTTGTGGTCCACACTGTCAATTACATTCAGTGTTTCAGATACAACAGCGGCTCAGGTTTGAGTTGGATCGCACAACACCGCTGACTTATTCGAGGATGGAGGCGTAGCAGTAAAACTATTTACTATTGCCTTGTGAAACATGGAAGCCAATAACGTTTGTTGTTTCAGGCAGTTAGGTACAGTCTACTGCAGGCCGTGATATTTCAGGCAATGGTGGCACCCATCGATGCTTAAACTTCACGTTGCTTACATAGGGTTATCCACGACCAGCCGCCTGACTGTGTTCAATAGATGACTTATCGGTCGTTGTCCATAGCGCCCCATCAATGGTCATGTCACTTACTGTCCTCATCGATCATGTTAGGAGTGCACCTCACCGCAATAATGACAAACCTTAGCTCAGCCGAATATATGGCCCGTCTGCAACCCTCTCCGCCCCCAGCATACTGTCTCGCTCAGCCGCCGAACCGGCGGCGCATAGTGCGAGCGCGAAATCGCCCATGGTTAACAAGCCGCTATTCTTATGTTATTATTAGTGTATTAATGATGTAATAATGCTCCAATGCCATTATCTCGTTATTCGCCCTACTTCACTACTAACCATAGCATCTCATCACTTTAAATTGCGTGATTCTTATGCGAATACTTTTCTGTCGTTACTATTGTGGTGCCAATACGACATTTATGTATACAAAGGTTTAATTACCCAAGTTTGGGGTTGACCGATTACTACAACATCTAAAAGACCCGCTTGGCTAATTCATCTGTACAATCTGAATCGCTCCTCTCTCTAACTCTCTCTCTCTCTACATTACAGCTAAATTGCTATGGTAATCTAAACGTGTTTGTCGAACGACCATGTGACAAACAACTCATTCGATTCCATTACACAGTAGCGGGAACGAGTAAACATTTTCGACACCTGTGTTTCATCCACTTCGGCCTTAACAATACTATTAATTTTCAAAGAAAACACAAATTTAGGATTCTCACCATTTCTCCTTCTATCACTTTCAGCTTTTTCTTAACAGTCTCAAGTAGATCCTCTTCAGCTACATCGGCAATTGCGGCCGTCTGCTTACGAATGTTTTCCATATAAGTAATTGCTCTTGCTTCCAATAACAACACGTGTCTCGTGAGACCTATATAAATTTCCAATAAAACTGGTGGAATTAGAAGAGTTCTTATCTACGTACTATTTTAATTAATGGTGAAGAAGAAAACCCTTATTCACTCCACTCTTCGCGTAAAACTTACAAGTCCATTAAAGTTTTAGCAAACGTAGATAAGTCATATATTTAGTTGATACGTCGTCAAGGAACTTTCGACTCTTTGCACTTCGCTGTTGGTCTGTTCTTTTAACGTCATGTTAAGCAGCTCAGATTATGCTCAAGCTTTCATCACCATCACAGCATTTGTAGTTATAAAAGAATAGAGTTTACAATCTTCGGTCTGTATCATATGCAGTAAAGTTCTAGTTAGTGCAAAAAGGTTCTGTTGCTTTCAGAACCACCAAACATGAAAAAAAGCATTGGTTGCTTGCTCCCTGCTTTCCGAAGAATAATTTGGATGGTCCTTTCAGAGAGCAATATTCACTGCCTATCCCAGCTCACCATTCACTCACCACAGAATGTTAGCAACGCATCGGAAGAGTACCGATAATATTTAATATTTAATATTTGTACCGATCACATCGGTATAAATTGTGAATTTGCCAAATGGAACTGTTCTAAATCCTGAATCCCGAATTCTGAATGAATTCTTATTCCGCAACGCTGGAGAGCAAGGCGAACGGAAGATGATAAGCAGAAAGATCAAGGCACTACAGTGCGGAAGCCAAGGAACTCTTCCATCGGATTAACTGCTCTCCCGATAATAATGTGCAGCTGCGAGACCTGGACGTCGGCTATGAACAGCCAAGAAATTGGAAGGAAGACAGAGACAACTGAAAGTTTTGCCACAGCCTAAAGATCGAAGACCAGAGATGTCACTGCGTATATATCAGAGATGTCGGATGTAAAGTTAGCTAGGCATGTACGTTTCAACGACAACAGCTTGACAGAAGCTGTTAACGACTAGGTTCTAAAGTATGTTAAGTGATCAAGAGAAAAATCACCTATCTGACAAGCTTTTCACAAGCCTGGAAACATTCGCAAGGGAAAGAGATGATGTAGGACTTCATTGGAAACACGATGGTCAATCGGTGTACAGAGGCTACAAGTGATGAAGATTTTATTAAATCATCCGAAGTTCTAGTAAAAGCGCGAAAATTATTGGATTTTTGCATTTCAAGATCTGCACCAACTTGCAGAGCACAGTTGATATCCATGTTCGAGTAGGAAATTAGTTTTTAGCAATAACTTTAATTTAAAACCTACTGTACCATTTTAAGATTAACTTGATCTCAATCAGCATTTGGAATATTGTTTTAATTTTAAATACGAACGATAGTATAAACTCCGTTGAACAACGCACTTAACACTTCTCGTTGTAGCTGAACCAACTCCTCAGTGTAGACGTTGACAATCCGGTAGAAGCGAACGCCTGTGAACAGAGCGAAGAGACAGAGTGCGATGATAAGAATGCTTCGACTCCTGAGCAGAAGGCTCTGAGAAGACCAAAATAGACGGTACACAAGTCGTCGCCGCATCAACACGACGCTCTAAACGTTAACTCGTAATCTCCATTCACAGATATCTAGTCATGCTGGGAAAAAAAAACGGAATGTTTCTTCGAGAAAAAGGTTGCGAGCAGACGAGGAATGAATAAAAATGAATCGATAGCTTGGGAAATTTTGCGTTTGAAATCAGAGAAAGATTCCATAGAAATCGGTGCTTAAACGGAGCAAAAAGCACATTTCATTATTTCGAGAGCATCTCATTGTGTTCATCATCCCATCTCTTCATCAATCTCGTCTCTGCTTATTACTAATTGGAACTTTTAACTGACAAAAAGCGAAGAACATTTCCAACGGTGATATACAAAGCAAAATGAATGGCCACGTTTATAATTCGATACATGGTATACAAATAGATAGAGGTGATACCTTCGCGATGGTGTCAAGGGAAGCATAACGTTCCACGGAAGTCCGAATCGATATCAGTTGCAATGAATACCAGTGATAGAGCCATTCATCGTTATCACTCACCAACAAAATGATTGTGATGTTGTCCAGACAGTGAAGATGTAACTTCCAGAAACGGCGTTGTTCTACATCTGGGAAGCAGGGAGATTTAGGAGAGAGATTACTCGTTCTCGCCTTGCCCGATTTTGTTAAAGGTGGTCCTTTTACACGCCCAATATATTAGTAGGCGTAATTGTAGATGTAACAAACGAAGATTGTATCGAGCAAATAATTTCGGTAAACAGCTCTCAATTGCGTAACAACGAAATTTATGTAAGGTGGTTTGCTTTCAACGAATCCAACGTCTACTTCGGAAGTGCACGTCAAAGTGCACGGGGTCATTCCTTGTTCCATAGAAAAGGCGAACAGTTATAAGTAGTATTTCGAAACCGACTTTCCTTGAACCTCGGTATCACTAATCAATATGTATTCTTTCTTTGATGAGCTTACACGAGGTTGATAATGATATTTATTTATTTTCGGCTAACGTTTCGACGTCTTCGTCTTTCTCAGAGCCGATGATCCGAGTCGATGGTCCATGCTCGTTGTTTGTCTCGACGTTGCAGCTTCGCCTTCGTGTCGAGTCAGGTCTTCCTCAGTGAGCCATCTTCTCGAATGAGGCATCCTCACTCAGTGATGCCCTTTTAGTTATAAATAGGCTTCTTTCGTCATAAAATAGCAAAACTGAGGGCTTTCATTAACTAAGAATTAAAAAGATCCTGATAGAGCAGATCACTCTCGGGATGGGCAAAGAATTTGCGAAAATTTCAGAACCATTTCAATCGGCCTCAAATCTGAATCATTATGGTTACCTTCCTTACAACTTCACAAGCTCTAGCAATGGAAGCCGTCCTTAACAC